TAAAATTTATTACAATATCTGATTACAGTAATGTTTTTCTTCTTTTTCAAAATCGTAGCCGAGGCTGAATTACACGATATATACTATATACATATTTTATTAAATCACAAAATTCACCACATATAAAAAACAAATTAAATTTACTAATTATAACCTGTTGGCTTAGACGTCGTTAGTAGGCTTAGTTTTACACCCTCTATTATCAGAATCCATCTCTTCCTATCAGTGGCCAACTCCTTCACTTCTCGTGTTTCAGCAGTATTTAGTTTAATTATTGTTTCATTATTATTAAAGTCACATATTTAATATGTAATTTACGAGCACCTAGATGTGACCTATTTAATGGTGGGACTGAGGGTGTTGATTAGTACTGCAAGTGTGCTACATAAATGCCCACATTAATATAAGTTACCGTACCGTATATAGGGAAGCAATTTGCTTCCCTTATATTTATACGTATAATAAGTATTGAAAATAAATTCAATCTGGATTCAGTAGATTATTTTTATTTTTTCTTTTTGGTTAATCCTGTTGTCAAATTTTTGTCAGCACTTTTTTTACTTACCTACTTGACATGTTTCGCCTCTTGGCGAGACTCTTGGCTCGGGCATTCCGATTAGAGCTTGGTGAACACCTATCTTTCGTTTGGGTCAACCTAAGCGAGGGTGGTAGGCCATGTCTTCAAAATCTCATCGTACGTATAGGGGAGTTCGTATCCTTCATCTCTGTTCATTGTGTTCTTGTTCAACTTGATCTTCATGACATAATTTTCCTATCTTGCCAGAATGATTCTTTTGCAAGTATCTTCACATTCCAATCAAGGAAATGATTCATAGAAATCATGTGGTCAGGAATTGCTTTGGATGCAAACTTCCTAGTTGTACTGGCGAGGACACGAGGACAGCGAGTGTCAACATCGGATTTGTTTTCATTCATTCTTGTGGGTGGAGAAAGACCAGTATGATTCGCTAATGTAAACTTGTGTGTAATTGCAACAGTCTACTTGGCACACTAACTCGCAACAATCTTTCTTAATTTGTTCTGTGGAATGTAAAATGAGTAAATGTTGTGACTGAGAAGGACTCACCTGAATCTTTCTGACGGCTCAAGAACATATGAATCTCCACGCTTTCCTTCATTTTTCATAAGGTCTCAGTTTTCTCTATATTACTGCATTCTTCTTCAGTAATTTGTTAACCGACCAGTTGGAGAAATTTGAAGTGTTGAAGGCAAATCTGATCTTTTTAAAACTAATATAAACAAATACTAATAAATACGTAAAATAGACAACAGCCACCCATCAAAATGCACAATAAAAATGAAATGCACATTAAAAATACAGCTTAAAATATTGGCTTAACTTCAGGTGAAAGTTAAAATTGACAATTTTAAAATTCTAATAGATCGCTACATAGGCCAAGCAACTCCAAGCACAGATATAGGCCTACCATAGGGAAAATAGAACTGTTCTATTTTCTCTATGGATACCTAATTGCACAAGACGTTCGTCATGATGGTAGTTCAGTTCGTTTTATTCGTAGACCGTGATTGTACTGCATATTATTCCATAATGAGGTGCACTTGCAACAATTCAATTCAATTCAATTCAATTCAGGTTTATTCATCATCAAATCAAGTCAATTTACAAATAAATTTTATTGAAATGTTAAAAATAGGATAAAAGATGAAAATGACGTTCATGAAACTCTAATGAGCTTGTAAAATGAAAACTAGTAAGTACAGTAATACAATAATATAAACACAAATTCACAACAACACAAAACAATACAACCTATTAGTAACATAAAAATCAAAGGAAGAATTTCAAAAGCAAGCAAACCAATGACCACGGACACTATTTCAAAGGGTTTGGGGTGGTATTTTCAGGACAACCGACTTTGTTTGACAGCAACAAAGAAACTTGATTCTACTCACTTCCACTGCCTCAGTTAACTGGCAGGTACAATAATCGCTCGAATAAGCGGCTGATTTTTGGGTCCGCGCACAGCGGACCACAGAAAATCACTTCTTATTTTTCTTGTTGTTTCATCAAAGACTATACATATGCCATTAACACTAATATGACACGTCGCATGGATGGCGCGGTCAGTTTACGATTTGTTCTAAAGAACCAAAGTTCGTGAGTTTGAATCGCGTCGTGGTATTCAATTTATATATATTTCTTTTCAATTTTAAGACATTTGATTTTATTTTCTGTTAATGGTAGTAATTAATGGCAATTATGAACCCTATCCGAAAACCCAATGTAATAACTTACGCCACTGCGTACTGTATTTTAAGTATTCCTCATTGATTTAAGCACATGTTTTAATAGTGTCAACAAAAAGCCTCATCTGAAAGGTGCTTACATGAAGCGTTAAATGCTGAATGAGAGAACCTCAGTTTAACGCGCGGACCTGTCAGCAGTCGCTCTTGTTTTTTGCTAGCACCCATCTCCGCGGTGGTTAGTCGAGACAGCACGGCCTAAATGTTACCTGTGTGTAAACACATTGAGAAACAGGGTTTGAAATACAATATCTGTGTTAAAATGAATAAATAACACATTGAAGACACAACATGGGTGTATGCAAGGGGCGGTCGGGAAGGTCGTACGACCCCCCACCCCCAAAAAATTTTTCAAAGTTCCACATTTTTTCCAAAAACATTTTTTTCAAGAGCCTTTTGACAATGACATAAATGAAAAAGCATTGATGAAATACCAGCAATGAGTCCAAAGACCTTGCCAATTGCGTGACGTAATCTATCTCAATTCCAGCAATTCTGAAACTGAGCCTGCCAAGATGAGAGATCTTGCAAGATGTGATTTACTCACATCTTGCTGTTATTTCATTGTGAAAAGGTCCAAAAAGTTATGATCAAGACCCACCCAAAAAAAAAAATCCTAGATACACCCCTGTGCAAGCACTTCTTTATAAGCGTTTATTTACGATGACGTACGACCTATGATATAGGCCTACTAAAGTACGGGTATACGTGATAGGTAATATGGCAACGAGAATGTAAAGCGCTTTGCCAATATTTGTTTATAAGCGCGCCCACCGCTCTCGAAAAAGCGCCGCTCTGAAGGCTCCAAAAATGTTATAAGCACCGCGGCGCTTACTTGAACATTTACGGTAGTGCAAGTGTGCTATATAAATTCCCAGTATACAATGTTACCGTATCTCTTAGAGTCTTGTTACCATCCTCTTGGAGTTGAAGGAGGTAATATTCTGCCAGACCAACTATCAGCATCCTCGGAAAAAAGGGCGAATCTTGAGGCTCATCGAGGACGACTCAACACAGTAGATGATGGTCTAGGTAAAGGAGGTTGGGCACCAGAAACAAATGACATTAACCCATGGATTCAAGCCGAATTCGGTACTGTAAAAGAAGTGAGTGGCGTAATCACTCAAGGACGCGACGACGCACTGAAATGGGTGACGTCATTCGAAGTTCACTATAGTATTGATGGTAGCAATTTCGAACCAATATTGGGAGCAAGTGGTGAAGTTCAGGTATAATATAGTTTAACAAATCTACATCAATGTGCATAGAGAACTAATATTTGCCCTATGAATGTCCCTTTTAATTATTATTATTATTATTATTATTATTATTATTATTATTATTATCCTCATTATCATTTATCATCATCATCATTATTATTATTAATATTATTATTATCATTATCATTATCATTATCATTATTATAATTTATATCAAGAAGTATGAATATTTGTAGGATTTTATTGGAAATGTGGATCAAAACACTCCTGTGACAAACATATTCAGTGAAACTGCCTACGCTCAATTCATCCGTATCTATCCAACAAGTTTGAATAACGAAATTGGTTTACGATTTGAAGTTATTGGCTGTGCAGGTAAAGAAAGTCATTTCTCTTCTACAC